GTTGCTAGAATAGGGACAATTGTGCTGCTGCAACCGATTCACTCTCCAGCTGAAACCCTCTCCTTTCTAATACCAAAGTGTCACTTCGCATCCATCCCTTTCGTCCGTGTCATCAACGCCACCGCCTCCATTGACTCCTCGTGCGCCCAGTCGAGATCGTGTTACCGCACCTGGTGGACGCGGTGCAGGCTTCGGTGCTGACGAGCTGAGGTACCATCACGCTGTGCTTAACTTTTAGTTAATAAGTATAAGTGTTTTCACTTGGTTCAGACTTCGAGGACGGCTTTTCTATAGCTCTGCAATATTATAATCTTTAGTTTTGTATCCCAAATGACTGCATAAGATGTCATGGTATAATCACTCTAGTTGCAACCTCAAGTACGTCACAAAATAAGCATCACAAAAAAGCCTGCTGTAGGGTCTCTTTCTCGAATAGTACACATAAAAATTGTGATTTCAGGAGTCACCCAATGGGTGACTCCTGAAATCACAATTTTTAACGCAGCACACCAGGCGGGATTCCGGAGGTATGCACAATGCCGTCAGGTTGTTGCATTTTCCCAATTTCTTTTGGCCAATAGCCAAAAGTGAAACAAAAAATACCACTCCACGCGTGTAGTACGAATTAACCACAAGTACGTACGAAAAAGCGTTTTCATCTATATGCATGCAGTGCTGCTAAAACATTTGCATCATAATGAGAGTTGCAAGTCATTTATTGACCTCCGAAAAATGCCGATTTTTTGTTCTCTGGATTTTATATCCAGAGTCCAGCAACGTACAAATGCGCCCATAATTAAATCCCCTTTAAATCGGATCAGGTACAAATTGAATTTGCATTAAAAAAACTCTTTGCTTAAATATACTGTAAATATGTATAAAATCTATGCGTGTTGACCCATCCAGGTCTAGAGTTCGTTCACGCAACACTTACTACAGTTAGTATCGTAGATATTAAAATATAATCTGCTATCGGGCTCATTCGAGCAACATGCAATAAAAGTTACATTGTGGAAAACCGCGTGAAATCTTTACGAGAATTTGAAGTTCTTCTAGCGAAACTTCAATCCTTTTTTCGAGTTTTATTGTGAAAAGATCGCCAAATTCTCTCAGCGGCGATAAATGTCTTCATTTTGCATTGTGATAGCCCAAGCATTAGTATTAGCAACGGACGTAATGAGCTACATGTTGCTTCGACAGCAACTAATAATTAACCAACTAGCTTGGTGGATAGTTCTCGAGCAGAAAGAGT